CTGCTCCCCAAAAAGGAAAATTATCTGTTATTTCATATGTATAATCTTTAGTATTATACAAATTTTAGTACATTAAAATAATTAACCTATTAATTAGTTTCTTGCTAGATTATAATTTTAATGGAGAAGAAGAGGACTTTGTTTGAACAAATTTTCCAGAATTTGATTTCTAATTATCTTTAAATCTGTAAACAACCTGTTGTTTTGTGATTTAGTTTTTGAAATCTAATCTAAATTGTGCCGACAAAAGATTCATCTCACCGTCTCAAAAAAATGGTTCGTTTTGATCCTCCTGCTGACCTCTAGGAACCTCGATGTCAGAAGTCCTCACTCCCTTAACCTTCTAACGGGGTATTGAGGCTGGAAGACTGCTTCCTCCAGGTGGTACCTAACACTTCTGACAATCGCTGTCCTCAGAAAAAATCAGTCAAAGAGAACTGCCTTGACAACGCCAAATTGTCGTGGGAAAAAAGTATTCGACTATTCATCCTAGTTAAATAAACGGAGATCGATGGATTTCACTCAGTCGGCACATTTATTAAAATCTTTGCAAAGAGTCATCATGGCACAGCATTCTGCTCTGTTCTGATCTGGGCAGGGTTCGTTCCCCCCTAGTTACAACAATGGAAAGCAGTCAGAGTCATAACAAATTACACACACTTTGCTTACCAGTAACATGTTATGAATAAACCTTGAGAAAGAATCTGGATTGTTATGGGAAGAAGCTATGTCTGGTCTACAAACAACATTCTGCAGGGAATGGTGTGGCCTTGAGAGAGAAACAGACTAAGTGAAAACTTTTATAGTGAGTAAATATGAATATTAATATATAATGAGAGAAAGATATAAATTTTCCCACAACAGGGGAATAAGCACTGAAAGACAAGCTCAACTCTATCATATATAATGGACATTTGGCTGCTACCCAACTTCTTTTGACACCAGGATGGCATCAAAGCTAAACAGAGCACCGGGTTGGATGAAGCTACTGCATAGAAAAAACTCAGAGAGAATCCAGAGTTAGAAGTTGAACTAAAAAGTAATGAAGAATTAGAAAAAAAGATACAATGAAGCAAAAAAGAAAAAAGTCCCTATGTCCTCCGCGCTTTTTCCCTATAGCAGAATATCTATAGATATATCTCAGGATAACTGGGTCACTTTAATTATAAGCTTTATAAAAAATGGAAGGTTTTAAGCCTAATCTTAAAAGACAGGGTGTCTGGCTCAGCATTTATTGGCATTGTGTGTTCATTTTGTAGCTTTAGATCTAGAGGTAGGCATAGATAATTTTCTTGATTAATCACACTGTAATCTTGGAATTAATCTAGATTAAAATTGCCCATTTGAATTCTGCCAAATACATTCATGATATATGTGTGCAACCTCCAGAATATAAAGGTTTAGGGGAAAGGTTTAACAGGTTTATTAAGAAGTTCTTTGTGGAGATTCCAGTGTTGCTCTGAACACTGCTCAACCGGAACTGAAAGGTGAGGGGAAGACACTGTGGTTAGTTCAGGTTCAGTGGGAGAAGATTTAGCGCAGAGATTTGGTTGACTCTTAGACTCCAGTAGGTGAGGAATGTGTTTCGGTGTTTGTCTCATGCGGTGGAGGGCGGACAGGGTTACCCAGAATGCGGTTGCTTGTAGATGAACGGAGAAGACTGACTGCCACTAAGATTTCCTGCAGTACTTGAACGGACTGTTGTGCAGATGAAGCCCTTGCTCAGTGTGAATCTCAAACGTTTCCTCGGGGAAAAGTGGATCCAATCTCCGGTTTGTATTCCCAGCTCAGTTTGAAGCTCAGTTGGTCCTTCCAGGGAGAGAAGGTCCGAAAAATCCAGTTTGCAGGATTACTTCATACCGAGAGGGAAAAACAAAATAACAACGTTAGGACTCAGGTTGACTAAAACTCAGTTTGACTCAGCAAAACTCAGCTTGGCTAGAGTACCCAAAACTGGCAAACACTCTGCCGTTGAGGTAGTGGCAGTCAGCAGCTTAAGAGCACTCCGTTAACTAGGTAACCCCTTGCAGGTGTGTGAGGACGAGAATCAGAACCAGGCGCCGCCTGGTGGAGGAAGGAAGACAAACACACAAAAACACAGACCACACAGACTGGAGCCCTTGCACCTGCTCCTCGCCTGGTTCCTGCAGGTATGTATGCTGTTTGCTTGCCTGCCATCAGTGCCATATTATTGCCTTGTCCCTGTCTGCTCTGTCGGTTTGGCTTGTAGAATGACTTCCTGGATTCAGCTGGATACTGAAATTGGAGTGTGTTACCTCGGCTTTGGATTATCCCTCATGGACACTGTTGCTTCCTCGGCGGCAGCTCACCCTGAGCTCTGAAGAGGTAACGACCAAGTGGCGGACAATCTCCCCCCGGATTCCTCGTCTCCCTCTCGAATTGGACTGAACTCTCAATCGGAGAATCAGGTAATCCGCCCTGCAGAAGTTCAGCCGCTCACTTAAGTTTTGAATAAAAGTTGTATTGTAAACAGTCCTGATTTGTCTGCTTGAATCTGAAGTCGTTACACTCCTTTGCAGCTGTTGCGCTGTTTCTGTGGCTTTTAAAGACATTCTCCATTTGTTTTTTTATTTCTGGATAAAAATCTGTAGTTCCATTGGGGTCAAATAGGAGCTTCCTGTTGCCTGTTGTCACGGTGACAAGGGGTATAAATTACATCCAGCATGGCGATTCGATTCAGTATCGATTTCCTGACCCAGCGATTCGATTATTTTCGATACTCAAGAATACACCACGATTCGTTTCGATTTGATTCGATTAATCGATTAATCGGTTAGTTTTTATTTATTTTTTTTTCACCTTACAGGCTAAACAAAGTTTCAAGTTTGAAAAATATCAATGAAAGCTGTAATATCGTTATGCATTTTTTTAGAAACAGAAAATAACAGAAGTAGAAAAGTTGCATCAAAAAATACAGCAAAAATACTGCAGAAAATCAGTGCAATGAGTGCAAATCAATACCTCGGCTCCAGACGTCCCCGCCCCCTCCACAGACGCTCCGCTGCTCCTCTCCCAAATTGTAGCTGACCGCGAACAGTGCAGCAGACAGGAGGCCAGCTTGTTTTGTTTTTTTGACCAAAATTACGGAAAACAACTCGTGAAGCTAGAAGAGTGAGGTGCGCGAGAACGCTGGGACCCTTTTTCCACCTGGATCTCCGCTCTTTTTGGCCCTCATGTCCCTCCGTCTTTGGACTAAACTCGCCCCCACTTCCTCGCCGCCCCGGCCGTATCTAGACCCACAGCGTGTAGCACAGACCACGTTTCAATATTGAGCATAATTTAAAAATGTCTGTGTCAAGCTTACTGGGACACACTGCTGTAAGAGTATAACCAGGAAGCGAGTTAGGAGGGCAAAATAGATTTTGCACCACCGCAGCACGGGAGGTAGAATTACTCCCAGGAGCAAATGGATAAAAATAGACCGGAGGAAAAAATAAAAACATGAATCGATTCTCTTGCGGACGTGTCGATGCATCGGATCGTCGGCTGTTGGATCGATGCATCGATACAAAACGATTATTATTTACACCCCTAATAGTGACTCATCGAATCGGCGCTGCACTGATAATGGCTTTTTATACCTGATGCACACATGCTCAACTCTGAATGGACCTTCTTAGAGTTGATTGGAATAGTTCATAGAAGCTGTTGTGAAACTGAAAATTCTGAGTTCTCAACATTAGGCTATATCAATTTAGAATTGCAGATTCGAATTGGACTTTGTTAAACCTGCTTTTTGAAACAGACCCATAATTACATGGCATATAGACCATATAAACATAGACCTGTTTTCATCTAACTGAAATTTGAAGTTAAAGCAAACTTTTAAAAGTTAGATAAAATACAAAAACTAATTTATCGTGTTCCATTTGATTTAAAGTGACCAAGCACAGTAAAGTGTAATCATGTCATACACTGTAATACACATTACATTAGCACGCATGGCCTTAATAAACAGTAGAGGCTACAATTTAGCACTGACCACAAAAAAGTAATGGAGGAAAGTTTTGATAACTGTCTTGCTATCAAGCGAGTTGTCCTTATGCTAACCTGTTAGCTATTAATGGCTGAGTTGCTTCCAGCCATGTCTATGCACATAAGAGGAATATCCGGGAAGATGCTGACAGCGAAAAGAGCTAAATGGTCATATAAGGTTAAAGTTTGCTAAGTCTGACCTGATTCCATCTCCTTTTTTGCACATTAACACTTTTTGTGCAAAAACCAAAAACCACTTAAAGCGAGGGGGAAACTGTTTAGCAAATTTGAGGGAGTTTTTTCAAATTTTGCAATTTCCATCAAGCCTTCGTGATGCAATACTACAAAATGCACATTAGAAAAAGCTGATGGAAAAGCATCTAGTAAGACTCTGCTAAGTATAAGGATCAACCCAGATTTTTGCTTTTCTTCTACTGTCAGGCCACTTCATTGTAAATGTATAATTAAGGACAACCAGTAAAACTAGAACCACCAGGCATAGCAACAGCTACCGGTAGTTCCAAACTGCTGTCAGGCTCCTGAGCACCTCCTGACACCAACTATAAGGACTGTACCCACCACCTCCCGCCCACAAAAATAAAGGAAAAAAACACACAACAATCAAATATGTATTATAACCCCACTAATATAATCCATATCCGAAGCTTGCTGTAAAGTTTTTCATATTCAGTTATTTTATAGCCTCTTACAATTACTACCTGTTTATATATACCATTCAAAGTCAATACATACAGTATACTCTCTTTGCACATGTAAATAAATGTTTATATTCTGTGTAGCCCTTCTGGATGGATGCATGCTACTCTTCCTTTCCTTTGCACTTGTGACAGTGTAATGGCGATAAAGTTGTATTTTGTTCAATCCTATTCTAACACAGCATCATTCTAAAAAATTTAAAATGGAATAAACTTCCTTCTTCCTGAATTCCCCACACATAATCAAAAACCAGTTGAGCCTCAGATATTTCAGGTATAAAAGTCTCCTCGTCACAGGTGTTTCATGACAAACAAGCAGAGTTTCATCTGGAGCTGCACAGTAAGAAACAGAGGAAAATATGAGAGCTGCTGTAACCTTCTTGGTTTTGGTGAATTATTTCACCAGCTGTCATGGTTAGTTCTCTTATTGTTTTTAGATAGAATAAGTTTGTAACTCATTTGAATATTCATTATATTTTATTTTTTGGTTCTTCTCTACAGGCTTGAGCTGTAAGGCTGCTCCGCTGCATTTTTCTGCAGTCCAGCTTGATGCTGGTCAAGGGATGGTGGTGATGACTGACACATCCTCCAACGTCTTCTTCCTCAGTGGATCAAGTTGGACCAAACTGGGCTCTGTTCCTCTCAAGCATGTCTCAGTGGGACCTGCAGGGATCTGGGGAGTCAACAATGATGACCAAGTCTATAAATTTGCTGGTGGTGATTTCTTTCCTGTTTCAGGTGAGTAATATATTTAAGAACAATGGTTTCCAGGATTACAACTGTTTTTCTTTTCAGATGTTTAGTGATGCACATTTTTATGTGTTCAGGTCAGGAGTTGAACCAGTTGGATGCTGGTGGAGAAGGTAATGTAATTGGGATTACCGACAGCGACAGCATCCACTGTCTCAATGCCAGTAATATCTCACCCACTGAGCAGGAGGGCAGTTTGAACTGGAATACTTTGTCAGGGCAACTGAAGCATTTAAGCTGCAGCCCAAATGTGTGCTGGGGAGTGAACTCCAATGAAGCTATCTACTACATGGTAAAATGCTTATTTTTACTCTTTCCCATCTTGTTACAATATTCACCTATCAGCCTTTCATTCTTGGTTTTTCTTTTCAGGAAATCTCACCCAAAAGCTGTAACACAAAAGGATGGACTAAAGTTGAAGGAGAAGCAGTGAAGGCAGAAGTTGGGACTGATGGACGTGTCTTTGTTGTAAATAGATTTGGAAATCTCTTTGAAAGGTTAACTTTGAATTAGTTTTTTTGTTGCATTTCTTCACAACACAGATATTATACATGGTTTTAAATAATCACCTTTCTCTTTACAGAGTTGGCATCTCTGGCAAAACTCCAGGAGGTGCAGATTGGAAGAAAATTGAATTCCAGAAGGACATCAAGCATGTGAGCTATGACCAGGGACGTCTGTGGCTCGTGACTAAGTGTGAACTCATCCTAGAGTGCACTCACTAACCAGCTGGAGGTCTTCGCATGATTCTTTCTGCATTCAACTTATGTTTGAGGGATTTTTCTGTGTGTTTTTATCAGAAAGTGATTTAAAGCCTAGTTCTACAGTTTAACCATGTTAGAGGTTTGAATAAAAGTGGGGATATAAACAATTTTAATGATTCTGCTCTTAAAAATAAATAAATAAATACTTTGTCAAATGACATTGGGGTGTGGGGCCTGAGATTGTTTTGTCCTATTGGTGTTTTCAATTTCAGCTTTTACATGTAAAATATCAAAACCTTGTTTGGTGGCAACAATAAACTTTTTGATTCATCAACACTGTATTTGGTCCTGTTGGTGTGAGCTTTCATTATTTTTTATATGTTGACATTCACTCTTGAGTTATTTTACATTTAGAAAAGGGGTTTAGAGAAGTTACCTTGGCAGTTTGAAAGTTTTCATGAAGAAATATGAGGTTCTAAGCCATGTGGTCGGATATAATAACAACAATAGTTATTTGGAAAATAATAATCATAATATCTCAAAGCCTGCCTCTAAGTGGCATGAATAAAAGCAAAAAAAAAATGCAAAGAAACAAACTCAAAATAATAAAAAAAAAACTGACATTTGTGGAATTCCCCTTAAGTTAGATTAATCTCCTTGTACTGATATTCTGCAAAACAAGGACCCCATAATCACAGTTTTTTTGCAGAGCACATTTAAGAACATTATATGAGAAAAAAAAAGATACACACTTTCAGGCACTATATTGTTAAATGCAAGTGGAATTTTGTTATTGTGCATTGCTGAAAGTATAAAAACTGCCATTTTTTAGATTAGATACCTTTTCCGTAAACAAAAAGTCTAATGATTGAGGACACAGTTGTTCTCCCAAAATTTGCCTGCACCATTACTTGGTCATTGTAAGTGCATGTTTCAGAACTTGGTCTACAAGTTTGGCTCTCATATCCTCAGGAACATGCATGTGCCCCCAGGAGCTTTTGACTCCTTCTCTGTGCCTCCCAACTGCTTCCCCACACATCATAACTCCTCTTCCCTTTGACTGTTGACCCTATCCAGTTACTTGTCCTTCGATAGACAATGTAAAATTGTGTCATGCTCCTGCCATATACAGTATATATTTGGCATCTGATGGTTCATGAGATACACATCTTTCAGCTATTGCTAAAAGGTGTCCATCTAATGCTTCAAACATTTTCTTTCATTGGTGAAAGTCAAGATTAATTTGGGAGAAATTTACAAAATAACGACTGATTTAGAAGAAAATGTTTTATTCTTCTTGCTTGTTTCTGCTCGATACAGAGCCATTCAAATACATTTAGATCAACTTAACATAAAGAACTAATAATGTAGGAACCAGTGACATAATTATTTAAATTGATTTACCAGAGCATTTGCAGCTTGCTCAAAGCAATGCGATTTTTTTTTTGATGTGTACAAGAGAAACAATGCTGTTAAGATTGAACAAGTACTTTTAAGGATTGTAATTTGGATTTAAAAAAAATGTACAAAAGTGACAAAACAAATCTGTAGAGGAGAATAACAATATTCTTAGATTTCCTTTTCATACACTTTCCAAATAACATAGAGCCATTCTTCTCCTGACCTGTTATTCCCCAACTTTTGCTTTTTAACTACATGAAAATTTTTTTGCAACAGTTTGTACATCATAATCTTTTTTAATTTAAGTTAGGTTTTTTTTATTGCATTTTTTTTATTTCATAGTATTGCTGAGTTTTGAGTTTTTGATTACTACTATTTCTCTTTTACCCCCAAGGTTCTCTCAGTGCACAGATCTTTAAAAGAAATTATTAATTAGTATTCCACTTTAATTCACATTCAGTAATCAAACTGCTTTATTTTAAATACTTATTTGTTTATCAGATAGAATTTTAAAATCTCTGTGAATATTTTACCCGTAGTCTATTTTACATCATGGAAAAACATAATGTGTGTGCCAAACCGCTGCACTAAGAAAGATTTAAGGAAGTAAATAACTAAAGCAACATCCTAATGCCATCTTTTTTATTGTAAAACCTTCCGCTCTCATAAATTCCCTTGTTGTATCCCCAGAGCCAGTTAAGTGACATTTTACCTGTAATGTCAATCAACAGCACTACACCCTGAATTCCTCAGGGTTGGGTGGATGACCATGCTTCAGTATTTCCTCTAAGGGTTCAATTTTCAGCCCTAACAAGAAATGTTATGCTCATTTTGTAAGTCTAGAACACAGTGACCTGCCATTGTGCACATGTTTTTGCACAACCCTACTGGTAACTTGGTTAGATAAAAGACACAACCCTTACCCAATAGTTATTTTACAGAGCAGTTTTGAATCTGTGATAAGTTATAACACTTATCAGCAACATAGGGGCCTCAGAATAATTGACTTTTTATCTGTACTTGTCCTGTTAGATCTCAGTTTTGCATTTGATACAGTTGATCATAAAAGTATTTTAGAATTACTTGCATATTTTGTAGGAATTAAAGGAACAGCACTAGATTGGATCAAATCTTATTTATCTGGCCAATTTAGATTTGTTCACGTTCATGATTAATCTTCCTCATGCTCCAGGGTTGCTTGTGGAGTACCACAGGGATCAGTGCCAGGACCAATTCTCTTTATTTATATATGCTCCCAATCGGTAGAATTATTAGACAGCATTGGATTAATTTTCACTGTTATGCTGATGATACCCAGCTATATCTGTCTATAAATCCAGATGAAGCTAACCCATTACATAGATTACATGCATGTCTTAAAGACATAAAAACCAGAATGACTCTTAACTTTCTGCTCCTGAATGCAGACAAACTATAGTCTTGGAAAAAGAAACTGATTAGCCAGTCACTTCATTTGGATAGGATTAAATTGATCTCAGAAAATAAAGTAAAATATCTTGGTGTTGTTTTTGATCAGGACCTTTCATTTAAATCCCATATCAAAGAGGTTTTAAGAATTTTCTTCTTTCATCTGCGGAATATTGCAAAAATTGGAAATCTCCTGTCCAGGGGTGATGCTGAGAAACTAGTCCATGCATTTGTTACTTCAAGGCTGGACTATTGTAATTCTTTACTATCAGGAAGTCCACAAACTGTAGTTAAAAGCCTTCAGCTGATCCAAAATGCTGCAGCCAGAGTTCTGATAAAAATGAAAAATAGAGATCACATCTCTCCTATCCTGGCTTCTCTTCATTGGCTTCCTGTTAAATCCAGAATAGAATTTAAAATCCTCCTTCTCACATATAAAGCCTTAAATGGCCAAGCTCCATCTTATATCAGAGATCTGATTGTTCCTTATGTTCCTAACAGAGCACTTCGCTCTCAATCTGCCTGTTTACTAGTGGTTTCTGGAATTTCTACAAGTAGAATGGGACGCAGATCTTTTTGTTATAAGTCTTCTCTCCTGTGGAAGCAACTACCAGTTTTAGTCTGTGAGGCAGACACCCTGTCTACTTTTAAGGGAAGGCTTTAAACTTTCCTTTTTGATAAAACTTATAGTTAGAGTGGCTCGGGTTATCCTGAGCTATCTCTGTAATTATGCAGCTATAGGCTTAGACTACTAGACGATATATGGACCATTTCTCATTATTCCGCTTCATTTTATCTCTATTCTCCCACTCTGCAGAATTTGAATTATCATTGCCATTTATTATGTTGCCATTACCAACTTTGATATAGCTGTTGGAGCTTGCTCTTTTTCTTTTCTTTTTTTTAGGATAAGTCTGTTTGTCTGACTGTGACTAACTGTATGTGCTCTCTTTATCCTCTGACATGGGGGCTGGCTTGGAGCTCGTCTGCCTGGCCGTGTGTTTTATGGATCGAGCTGCCAGTGGAGCTGGTTGACAGTTGCCTTTTGTATCTCTGCTTCTGTCTCCTTGAACCCCAGTCTGCCTTGGTAGATGGCCACTCACTGGTTCTGGTGGAGGTTTCTTCCAGTTAAAAGGAAATTTTCTTTTCCACTGTTGCTACAAGCATGCTTGGTCTGAGGGATTATCTTCGAGTCAATGAATCAATGCAGTGAGCTGGTTTTCCTTAGATGCAAAACTTTGAATCAATTTGACTCTATAATCTGATTGAATGGGTTGTGTAAAGTGCCTTTAGATGACATGTAGTGAACTCAAAATAAAATTTTAGAATAATGATTTGGGTACATTAAAATACCTCTTTATAGATAGATAAGTGGACAGACAGACAGCTACCAATTGAAATTATAAACTAAAAGATAACCATGGGCTTCATGGTGGCACAGTTTGTAGCGCTGTTACCTTGCATCAAGGAGGTTCTACTGTAGGTTCGATTTTGGTCTGCATGGAGTTTGCATGTTCTCCCCATGCAAACTCCATGAGTTCATAAAACTCTGGGTATTCTGGCTTCTTCCCTCACTCCCAAAACATGACTGTTAGGTTTTTTGGCTTCTCTAAATTGTCCTTAGGTGTGAGTGTGTGTGTGCATGATTGCGTGTCTCTGTGTGTCTCTGTGTTGTCCTGCGACAGAATGGTGACCTGCGCAGGGTGTACCCCAACTCTCACCCATAGACTGCCGGAGATAGGGAGTGGCCCAACCACAAGCCTTACAGGATAAGCAGTAGAAGATGGATGAAAAGATAACCATTACAGTAATAAAAATGTTTCTAATCAAGCAATGTGTTATTGCACAGATGCTAATAATTTCCTTTTTATACGGCTCTAATTTTTAATGTTACGTCTCTTTAACAACCAAAAAGTAGGTATTTTTTGTGAACCCATGCTTATGAGTTCAAGGTATGAAAACCATCAACATCAGCATTAGCAGAGGATCTTGGGGTGCACAAGTACTTCTTTCCATCTACAACAAAGTGGCACATCTTAAAAAAGTTAGTGATAACACCATTATGTAATTAACAATGACTTTGTCACCACTGTGATATGAAACCTAAGGATAAATGGGAGTCAGGCAGGCCAGGTGGCGATGTACATGAATGGCACCACCTGTACAAGGACCATGAATGTTTCTAGCACACCCAGGTACCATTCCATGGCGAATTACCTTGTGTATCGTAATTATGGCTTCCTCTTGTAAATGCCTAGTTTCCCTCCAGACCTGGACAGAATTTTCCTTTTCTGCTCTTTGATGATTAAAAATGTGCATCTTCATTTGACAAACTCCCTAACATTCCCAAGCCATCAATATGTCTAGGATACATATTTCTTGAAAAATGACTGTCAAGGCAAACAAACATGAACACACATCCAAAACGCACATGGTCATTATCCAAAGGGTCGGAAGTAATACTAACATAGATAACTAATACAGTAATGTTGCCTGCCCAATTTAATACTCAATAAAGCCTAATAAAGGTACACCATTAGCATACCCTCCTGTGTATGCTTTACAGTTCTTTAATAGAACATGTCTAAAAACTTTCTACGTAGTCCCTTGTACTATTTTAACCCTAAATGTCATGTATTTTTTCCCGCAAACTGTAAGCAGAAACTCATCATAAGGCTTGAACAACAAATTATATGTAAAAATCCCTATTCATCATGCCAGGTTTCACACCCTCCTTATCACAAGGCATTTCAAACGTCAGTAAGACTGTGGCACCATGCTTATTGCTTTTCTTCTACTGTCAAACCACTACATTGTAATACTATAATTAAGAACAACTAGTCCAACAACATCAAGATACTTTGTAAAAAAAAAAAAAAAAAAAGGGTAAAAAACACTTCCTTCTTCCTGAATTCCACCAACATAATCAAAAGAGCCACAGTCTACCTCAGGTATAAAAGTCTCCTCGTCACAGGTGTTTCATGACAAACAAGCAGAGTTTCATCTGGAGCTGCACAGTAAGAAACAGAGGAAAATATGAGAGCTGCTGTAACCTTCTTGGTTTTGGTGAATTATTTCACCAGCTGCCATGGTTAGTTCTCTTATTGTTTTTAGATAGAATAAGTTTGTAACTCATTTGAATATTCATTATATTTTATTTTTTGGTTCTTCTCTACAGGCTTGAGCTGTAAGGCTGCTCCGCTGCAGTTTTCTGCAGTCCAGCTTGATGCTGGTCAAGGGATGGTGGTGATGACTGACACATCCTCCAACGTCTTCTTCCTCAGTGGATCGAGTTGGACCAAACTGGGCTCTGTTCCTCTCAAGCATGTCTCAGTGGGACCTGCAGGGATCTGGGGAGTCAACAATGATGACCAAGTCTATAAATTTGCTGGTGGTGATTTCTTTCCTGTTTCAGGTGAGTAATATATCTAAGAACAATGGTTTCCAGGATTACAAATGTTTTTCTTTTCAGGTGTTTAGTGATGCACATTTTTATGTATTCAGGTCAGGAGTTGAACCAGTTGGATGCTGGTGGAGAAGGTAATGTAATTGGGATTACCGACAGCGACAGCATCCACTGTCTCAATGCCAGTAATGTCTCACCCACTGAGCAGGAGGGCAGTTTGAACTGGAATACTTTGTCAGGGCAACTATGGAAGTAAATATGTGCCATCAGAATTTGAATAAAAAATACCTCTGAAATTTGAATGTTGTATATTAGTGCTTACTAATCCGTGTATCATTCGTTCTTTCTATTTTCAATTGTCAATCAAAAAAAAAAAAAAAAAAATTGACTGGTTATTTTGTTTTTTGTTTTTTATGGTTAAACCAAAAACGAAAAAAGGATTTGTTTTTCATATATCAATTCTAAGCTCAGATCAAGAATACGAAATGGAAAAACGGACAGCAACGCAGAATTTGATTTTAATATTTAATCGGTACAGTTTACGTGACCCGGAAATAGCTCTTTGCGCGGCAGTGGGGTGATGAAGTGGCTACCATGGCGACGCTAGAACGCTGTTTGTTGTTGCTAGTTAAAAGTACAGTGCACAGAAAAGTTTCAAGAAAAAAGTTATACCTGGAAAATCCTGCTGATTTTCTCCATTGTCATGTCCTCCTCCTTAAGAGTCACACGCTTGGATCCTCGAGCGTAACTGTCCATGGCTGATAGGTCCGACTGCCTTATCTGGTGCAGCTTGATCGAACGTGGTGGGGGTAAGCCAATTGTTTTTTTTAGCTAAAGCTCCACCAAACTTCCGGGTCACGTAAACTGTACCGATTAAATATTAAAATCAAATTCTGCGTTGCTCACCGTTTTTCCATTTCGTATTCTTGATCTGAGCTTAGAATTGATTATGAAAAACAAATCCTTTTTTCGTTTTTGGTTTAACCATAAAAAACAAAAAACAAAATAACCAGTCAATTTTTTATTTTTTGATTGACATTTGAAAATAGAAAGAACGAATGATACACGGATTCTTACTTTTTCAGTACTAAAATAAATTCAGAATATATTTTTTACTTAAAAAAAATTCAATGTCATTATTTGTACATTAAAAAAAAATTCAGTGTAATTTTTTTTACATGGTTGCAATTTTCAGTTATTAAAAAAATTCACATTCCTATTTCAAAGTGATAAAATTTTCAATATACATATTTTTCACAGTTTAAATTTTCAGTGTTAAAAAATTCAGCATATAAAAAATTCAACTTATCAAAATTCAAATGCAATATTTTCGTTGTCCTCCAATTCAAGTTCCTCAAATTCACTGTCTCAAATTCAGCATCTAAAAATTCACTGTAAAAATGGCCAAGGATACTTCATGTCACAGACATTAGCAATGGATGTCCGATTCCAAAATCCACCTAATCACGTGACACAACCGTCATATTGAAGAAGTACCAGTATCACCCAGGCTGGCGACCATGGAGGCGAACTCAAACCCAACGGGGAGTTTACTGCTTTCATATTTCTGTAGTATGTTTTATTTTGCGCATGAAGTTTGATACATTATCTTATAGCCTGATTTAAAACACTGGTTTGGGCCGTTGTTAATCTTACACCGTGTAGTGCCGGCATAATACTTCTCGCTACCTCCGAGCACCCCCCCCCCCCCCACCCACCCACCCAATTTCCCCCGTTTTATTTCAAAAAGAAATACCACTTGCGGCAAGTCTAGAATCTTTAAAGAGAACTGATGGGTGGTGACTTTCTGGGTTGTTTGTATGTTGTCTTAGGTGAGACTGAGACAGGCAGTTGATGACTACTGTGCTCTTCTCCCATTAAAATTGTAGAAACTATATCAAGCACAAATAAATCTACAATTTGGTAGGTAACTGGTATTTTGAATGATGTTGTAATGACAATAAATTTCTTAATTAATTCATAAATGAGGTCACCTAACAATACAGTAGCTGATCAGAGTGGGGTCGGAACTGTTCACAGCCCCTCTTTGAAGCACACAAGGCAGCCATGTTAGCTTACTACATTAGCGGTAGCATCTCCTGAAAAATTACAACTTTACTAAGACTGCCTGGAAAAGTACACAAATAAAAAGAAATGGGGGGGGGGGTGCTCGGAGGTAGCGAGAAGTATTATGCCGGCACTACACGGTGTAAGATTAACAACGGCCCAAACCAGTGTTTTAAATCAGGCTTTAAGATAATGTATCAAACTTCATGCGCAAAATAAAACTACAGAAATATGAAAGCAGTAAACTCACCGTTGGGTTTGAGTTCGCCTCCATGGTCGCCAGCCTGGGTGATACTGGTACTTCTTCAATATGACGGTTGTGTCACGTGATTAGGTGGATTTTGGAATCGGACATCCATTGCTAATGTCTGTGACCTGAAGTATCCTTGGCCAATTTTACAGCGAATTTTTAGACGCTGAATTTGAGACAGTGAATTTGAGCAAGTTGAATTGGAGGACAACGAAAATATTGCATTTGAATTTTGAAAAGTTTAATTTTTTATATGCTGAATTTTTTAACACTGAAAATTTAAACTGTGAAAAATATGTATATTGAAAATTTTATCACTTTGAAATAGGAATGTGATTTTTTTTAATAACTGAAAATTGCAACCATGTAAAAAAAATTACACTGAATTTTTTTTAAATGTACAAATAATGACATTGAATTTTTTTTAGGTTAAAAATATATTCTGAATTTATTTTAATACTGAAAAAGTAAGCACTAATATACAACATTCAAATTTCAGAGGTATTTTTTGTTCAAATTCTGATGGCACATATTTACTTCCATAGCAACTGAAGCATTTAAGCTGCAGCCCAAATGTGTGCTGGGGAGTGAATTCCAATGAAGCTATCTACTACATGGTAAATTGCTTTATTTTTACTCTTTCCCATCTTGTTACAATATTCACCTATCAGCTTTTCATTCTTGGTTTTTCTTTTCAGGAAATCTCACCCAAAAGCTGTAACACAAAAGGATGGACTAAAGTTGAAGGAGAAGCAGTGAAGGCAGAAGTTGGGACTGATGGACGTGTCTTTGTTGTAAATAAATCTGGAAGTCTCTTTGAAAGGTTAACTTTGAATTAGTTTTTTTTGTTGCATTTCTTCACAACACAGATATTATACATGGTTTTAAATAATCACCTTTCTCTTTACAGAATTGGCATCTCTGGCAAATCTCCAGGAGGTGCAGATTGGAAGAAAATTGAATTCCAGAAGGACATCAAGCATGTGAGCTATGACCAGGGACGTCTGTGGCTCGTGACTAAGTGTGAACTCATCCTAGAGTGCACTCACTAACCAGCTGGAGGTCTTCGCATGATTCTTTCTGTATTCACTTTACGTCGGGGAATATTTCTGTGTGTTTTATCTGAAAGTGATTTAAAGCCTAGTTCTACAGTTTAACCATGTTAGAGGTTTAAATAAAAGTGGGGATATAAACTATTTTAATGATTCTGCTCTTAAAAAAAAAAAAAAAAGTACTTTGTCAAATGACATTAGGCTGTGGGGCCTGAGATTTCTTTCTCCTATTGGTGTTTTCAAGCTTTTACATGTAAAATATCAAAACCTTGTTTGGAGGCAACAATAAACTCTTTGATTCATCAACACTCTATTTGGTCCTGTTGGTGTGAGCTTTGATTATTTCACTCTTGAATGAATTAAAACCAAGGTAAATCCTACAAATAAATAAAATTAATTTGATAAAACATAATATTTCACCAATGATTTGTTTAATAAGAAATCAATAAGAAATCAAGGAACCTTGAATTAATTGTTAATAGTTCATTACATTAACCTTATGTGATTTAGCGAGTGACATGGAAAAAACACAAAAACGGTAACCTTATATCAGTGTTAAAACCTTTGGTAAAATAAAATGTATTTTAGCTTTTTAAACAACGGCTCAAGATGCGTGGGGTAACCTGCGGTCATCATTAGCTCTTGCTGTAGACAACAGTAAACACCTGAAATGTGCAAAAATTACGAAAAACACAAAATGCTTAGAAGAAACTCTCTCTCTAACTTTGCCAGACCTAAAAAGCTTTGTTGCCTTTGGTTTTGGAAAACCTAATTTTTTTTCCAGTATTCACCAGAGGTGGAACCATGTCATGTTTTGTAAGTCATAAGACAGTTTCAAGTCTTATCCCTCAAGTCCCAAGTCAAGACAGGCAAGTCCCAAATCAAGTCCAAGTCATGATTGAAAAGCCTCAACTTATGTCCCAAGTCCTGCAGTTTGAGTTTTGAGTCATTTTGAGTCCTTTAACATATAAAAGTAAGACTATATTTACACAGATCATGCATGCTACTTTATGGATTTATTGCAACAATTCCAACTGAAATTGCAGAAGAAAACTACTGACTACATTAGGTACTGTTGTTAAAACATAATAAAAGAATAAGAAATCACTGAACTCTTTGGTAATATGGATAACAGAAGTAAACAATAGCTTTTGTAAAACTAATTTGCAGATAGCAGGGGCAGGAAGCTTCGCCAGTGTCCAAGGATCCAAGGAGTTTCCAAGAATGAAAAAACTATGGGCTGAACCCATGGCAGACAGTAGTGGAGTGGAAGTGAGACTCAGACCACAAATACAGAGACCTGATAGGTATCATGCATCATGCTGCCTTACTTGTTTGTTAATTCCCTGTGGGCAGTTTCCACAAAAACATGAATTTTCTGTCTGAGTCTTCCTTTGTTAGTTCATAAAACTTTGTAATCATCACAAAATTCCAGTAGACGAGTCTGAATTGCGCTGACTAGTACTTGCAGTAGACATGCTGGTCTGTCATGTTTGTAATAATGTTAGGAATCCAGTGTGTATGGGCTGTGTTTTTGTGTGTTCTCTATCTCCACCACCAGATGGTGCCCTGTTCTCGTTGGTCCTCCCACGAACCTGAGGCTGATTGTGCCGTTGTGCTCATTACTGAGGACTCTCAAGGGGTGGACTGCCACTACCTCGACGCGAGAGTGTTTGCCAGTTTTGGGTACTCTAGCCAAGCTGAGTTAAGCTGAGTCAAACTGAGTTTTTGTCTCTCTGAGTTCTAACCTTGTTTTTTGTTCTTTTCCTTTTCGGCAGGAAATAATCCTGCAGACTGGATTTTTGCCCTTCTCCCCCTGGAAGGATTGTTTTGAGCTTCACACTGAGCAGGGGATTAATCTCCACACGACCCGTTCAAGTTCTCCTGGAAAACTACAGTAAGTGGCAGTCCGCTCCATTGCTCCTCAAGGAACCAACCAAACAAGACACCTGTCTGCCCTCCAACGAGCCCCCCAATCTCTGAAAAAACCCACACCGACTGGATTCTGAGAACCCTTTTCTGCTAACGTGAGTCCCGTTCATCTCTGATTTTTGCAGGACATTGTTCAAAGTTCTAACTGACCCTGAACTAACTTCTGAACTTCCCTTCTCACACTGCATGAAAAGTGGGATTTTCGTGTAGATTGTCGTGGAACTTCAGGTTAGCGGCAGTTTACGACAATTTGCAGGCTTCGCCAAAAACTCCCGTAAATTGTCAGAAATTGACGTGGACTCTCTTAGGCAGTGTTCCCCCCATGCCTCCCCCCCATGGAATTCTAGGGGAGGCTTTAACATGTAAATGAACATGCTGTGAGCTATACAAATGCAAACCAGGGTTGCAGGGGGGGTTTTACCCCAAGTGACATCTTTCTGGGTAAGAAAATCTCTAATACAAAGAGATCAGGCTCAGTATAGCCTCCTACATTTTAGCTTGAATTGATTTATTTAATTAAAGTATAGAGACCAAAACAGATCTTTAGCTGACAGAGCAATACATTTAGAGCAGTAATTATAAAAAAAAAAATTGCATTTAAGATAAAAAATAAAATGTTGTCTGTCAATATGCTCAATTCACAATTACTTAAGTGGAAAAGTTTCAAGAAATGAGTCTGAGATGATTTACTTTATAACATGGCGCATTATCCTGTTGGAAGTAGCCATCAGAAGATTGGTACACTGTGGTCATAAGGTCCGGCCAGGTCACGCAATTGCAATCGCACCAAACAGGAAAAAGAAAATCGACAAATTCCGGTTCGTCAAATTAAAATATAGCAGCAACAGATCGGTGACTAGAAATTATAGCACAATTCTTATATATATATATATAAAAAAAAAAAAAAACTAACACCGTTTATTTAAATGATTGGATCCAAACTATCGGTTATTCACCAACGAGGAAGCAGATTTCTCATCTCCATCAAAATATTTATTTTATACCGAGGGACTTAAACTTTAATCAAATCCATTCAAAAGAAACTTCTTATTACAGGAATGAAAAGAGATGC